CTCTGAGCGGGGGGGGGCTCTCATGGAGGCGTGGCCTGGCCGTGAGCCCACCCACTCTGAGCCAGGGGGCGCTCAGGGAGGCGCGGCCTGGCCATGACCCTGCCCCTCTGGCCAGCTATCGCGTGTTCTGCCTGCTCGGTGACGGGGAGGTGTCGGAGGGCTCTGTCTGGGAGGCTCTGGCTTTCGGCTCCCACTACCGGCTCGATAACCTGGTGGCCATCGTGGACGTCAACCGGCTGGGCCAGAGCGAGGCGACGCCGCTGTGCCACGACATGGAGGTGTACCGCCGCCGCTGCGAGGCCTTTGGGTGAGTGCCATGGGGGCCGGGGCCCTGGGTGGGGTGGGCAGCCCTGGGGCTGGCTAACCGCTCCCTCCCCGGCAGGTGGAACACCTACGTGGTGAATGGCCACGCCGTGGAGGAGCTGGGCGAGGCCCTGCGGCAGGCGGCTCAGGGGAAGGGGAAGCCCACGGCCATCGTAGCCAAGACCTACAAGGGACGAGGCATCCCCGGTGAGTGGGCTCTGAGTGCTGCAGGCCATGGCCTGGGGCCCCACGGCTGGCTCCCAGCTGGGGAGGCCTGGCGGGAGGGAGGGCCATGCTTGTGGGGAGGGGGTTCAGTGGCTCTTTCTCCCCTTCTGTCAGCTATTGTGGGGTGCGACAGAGTAGGGACCTCAGGAGAGCTGAGGGTGAGGCCTCCCCTTCCAGAGCCAGGGAGAGAACCCAGGAGTCCTGGCTCCCAGTCCCTCCCCTGCTCTACCCCACCAGCCCCCACTCCGCTCCCAGAGCTGGGGAGAGAACCCAGGAGTCCTGGCTCCCAGCCCCCCCTGCTCTGACCCACCAGCCCCCACTCCGCTCCCAGAGCTGGGGAGAGAACCCAGGAGTCCTGGCTCCCAGTCCCCCCTGCTCTACCCCACCAGCCCCCACTCCCCTTCCAGAGCCGGGGAGAGAACCCAGGAGTCCTGGCTCCCAGTCCCCCCTGCTCTACCCCACCAGCCCCCACTCCCCTTCCAGAGCCGGGGAGAGAACCCAGGAGGCCGGGCTCCCAGTCCCCACTGCTCTACCCCACCAGCCCCCACTCCCCTTCCAGAGCCGGGGAGAGAACCCAGGAGTCCGGGCTCCCAGC